ATTTTGAAACAGTAGGTTATAGTTTTTATTGCATTTGTGGGCGTGTCTTTCTGGCACAAACTCATCTGTAAGGACGTTATTCTGCTCTTTATTCTTTTTTTTCTTATAATAATTTGTATGGGATTTGACTTTGATACAAGATCTTATCATCTGCGAATAGAGAGTTTTATTTCTTTCTTTCTAATCTGAATGTCTTTTATTTCATTTTCTTGCCTAACTGCCCAAGGTAGAACTTTCAGTACAATGTTGAATAGAAGTGGCAAGAGAAGACATTATTGTCTTGTTTCTAATCTTAGGAGGTAAGCATTCAGTCTTCATCATTAGCTATGATGCTAGCTGTGAGGTTTTCATAGATGTCCTTTATCAAATTAAGGAAGTTCCCTTCTAGTTTGTTCACTATTTTTATCATGATAGGGTGCCAAATTTTGTCAAATGCCTTTCCTGTCTATTCAGATGATCATGTAGTTTAGCCCTTTATTTTATTCATATGATGTATTACATTAATTGATTTTTAAATTGTTAAACCAAACCTATATTCCTGGTATAAATACTACTTATCATAATCTTTTTATATATTGCTAGATTTGGTTTGCTTGTATTTTGTTTTTGTTGTTGCTCTTTTTTTAATTGTTGTAAGAATATATATAACACAACAATTGCCAACTCAACAATTTTCAAACCTCTGCTCAAGTGTCACCTTCTCAGTGAAACCTTCCCTGCCCTCTCTATTTAAAACTACAACTCACCGACCTCACCTGATCTTTCCCATCCCCCTTCCTGGCTTTATTTTTCTCTACAGTAGCTATCACATTCTAACATGCTTCATTATTTATTTAGTAGTTTATTGTCTACACATCCCCACTAAAACATAAGTTCCATGACACATGTAATTTTTCACCAGTGTATCCCCCCAATGCCGGTAACAGTGCTTGGTATGTAGGAGACATTGAATAAATGAATAATAAATGAATGAAATCCAGAGCAAGATTTTCATTGTACTTTTGGCAACTATACAGGACTCCTGAATGGTAAAACCACGCTATTTTATTCACCTGGTCTTCTTCTCCTACTCTAATTTATATTTTTCCAAGTCCTGATTTTTGTCATGTTTCCTTTTTCTCATACAGAGTTCCTATAATCACCATAAATCCTCTGTAATCTGAAGCTTAGAAAAACAGTACACTGCTGCTACCTTGTTTGTGGACTAACTAATTTGTTTTATACATAATAATTATTTTCCATGGTATAAAGTAATTCAATTAAGCCATCATATCAACCCCACTCCCCAATTCTTTACGGGAAATTAGAAAGAAGGGAGGGGGGGACAGAGGGAGGGAGGAATCTTTCATCCTGTGAAGGTGGACTTGATTGTTTTGGAAATTGCTGAAAGCCCTTAAAATAGCTTATATATTAAATTTACTTTCACTAGTAAAAGTAATCACCACATATTCATGATCTGTTATCATAAGAGATTTTCTAAGGAAAAGATTTCGTAGTTCCCCTTTGGTAGATTTTCTCATTATTTCCTAAAATTTCCAAAGCCTATTTGAAGTTCCAACCAATCTTAAGAAAAGGCAAAATGGCAAAAGTACTCATTTCCAACAACAACCAAAAACGCCAATTCCTTTTGAATTTCATGAACTTAGGAGTTAGGCTACTCTGTCATAATAACACTCTAATATTTCTCACATTCTATGATACTATTTTGTTCTGGAACTAATCTATTCAACTTCTCAAAACAAACTTGGAACCTCAAAATTTGCCTTATTTAATAAAACCTCACTTAACAAATCCTTAAGAACAATTCTGAAATGGAATCTTTTAAAACAACTTAAAATTTTATTGTAAAGGCAAAAAAAAAAACCTTTAAATAAATGCATATTAAGATTTATATGGACTATTCATTAACTTAGTTTTGTAAAAGGATTTCCTAAACAAGACAACTCAAGTTAAACATACTTTTCTTCCCCTGATAACACAGCTCTTGAAGTAAAAGTTCAAAAGTTTATCAGCATACGATTATAAATTAATCCAACTGAATGTTTAATAAACATAGGAGAACTCATTCATGTTTTCTAAAGTAATTGCCTTGGGATGTTACATTCTTTTTCCAATACAAGAAGTGTAGAATTACTCTTTTGGAATTATCTTCAGAGTCTATTTACATGCTATCCATAAAAACATCATCAATCACATTCCATATTTAAGTAAAGCAATAGTACCAGTTATATCACCATCTTTATTCACTAACCTTGGCTCCCAATGACATTTTGACTACTTAAAAAAAAAAAATCAAGTCCATCTTACAGGATGAAGAACTCCTTTTTTCATTCATTTTTCCTGTTTTTGCTGACTGCCTACTAAGTGCTGGGCATATGCTGGGTGCTGAAAATAAATAAAACATGAGGACCTGAAGCTAGGGCAGAAGTTCTTTGGGATGGAGAAGGGACTAGCCTACAGGCAGATCAGACACATACTAAGGCACCAGCAGAGTCAGTTCCCCGAGCACCGTCCAACACCACCACCAAACACAAGGGGAAAAAGTTCACCCTCAGTTAACTTATTGAGAAGTTTGCCTTCAGGTAATTTAAAAATAAGCTATAAATTTATATATATACGTATATGCACGCGTGTGTGTGTGTGTGTGTGTGTGGTGTGAGGGTGTATATATACATACACACACATACATATATATGTTTTACTATTTAGTATTATTTTTACTTTGAATTAATAAGAAAAAGACACAATCATCTTTTTGAGGCCCAAATTCATCTACCTCTAAAAACATCAGAGTCTGATTTAAAAAAAAAAAAGCTAATTCCTTTGTCAAATATTAATACTTCTTTGATTGGTGGGGTAGACACAGGCAGAAAACATAAATCTTAATGGGGAAGCTATTATTCACTAATTCCAGTGTGGGGATATATGCCATTTAAACATGGCTGCACTATTGACAACTGCAGCCCCCACGGGCCTCTATGTTGTATACGACATGTTGGAGACTTGTCAGCGATAAGTAAGAGATTAGGCATGACTTGCTTTCCCAAACCTATTGTCCTGTTACTGATTGGCTTGTTTACCTGAATTCCTTCTCCCTTGCCCGAAACTTATTGTTACTCACCCAAAGCCCATTGTTCTGTTATTTGCTTCACTGCTTGCTGTATTGACTATAAATAAACTCCCGGGACTGGAGCCGGGGGTCGACCCCTCAGAGTGACCCTCCTTGGCCCCACTTTTGTGTAAGAGTTGTGTTTGGCTACTGTCTTCACGGCCCCGACAACCGTTGCCGCTGCGACATTCCAGTTCACTGAGTTAGAAGCTCCTTGTTGTGCCCAGTCAAATGGTAGGTAGCTGGTCTCCTTTTCTTTATGAGATTCAACACAATCAACCATACAGACCCATCTATGTAATGGAGTAGTTCTGTTAATGGAGCTTAAGGTACAATTCAATGAGCTACAATGCCAGGCTGCCATTTTTTTAAAGAAAATATTTCAGACATATTAAAACATACATAGATTAATATAGCACCCAGGTTAAAAAATAAATTCCCCTTTCATTCCCCCACTGATCTCTACTGCTTCCTCTCCCTTAACATTGGAGAGGAGAAACCATTCTTCTGAATTTATTATTTGTCATTCCCATGCATGTCTTTATACTATCACTATGTATGTATGTATTCTTAACAGATAAATAGCACTGTTTTACATATTTCTAACTCTGTATAATGGTATGTACACTGTACATACATAAAATGGTATGTAATTCAGCAACCTGATTTTTGGCTCAATATATTGTAAATAAAATTTTTAATATTGATATGTGTAGCTCTAGTTCATTCACATTTGTTGTTGCATAACATTCAATTGTGTGAATATAACATAACGAATTCACTCATGTTAAAGAACATTTAGATTGCTTTTTAAAAGGACAAAACTATTTGCAGAGAGATGGTATTCTATTCCATCCTGAATACCACATAGTAGAACACTCGCCAAAGACATTACAAAAAGATTCCCAAGTGCCTGCCTTTCTTTGATTCTCCTCAACAAGCTCACCTAGGAACACCTCTTTGCTCCCCAATTCATATTCTGCCATATAACTGAGCCAGCTCCTATCTGTCTACCTACTTCTGTAGAATGGGAAGTAGCTTACTTAGCTAGAATCACTATGTTGTTGTTGTTAGGTGCCATCGAGTCAATTTCAACTCACAGTGACCCCATGTGACAGAGTAGAACTGCCCCATAGGGTTTTCTTGGCTGAAACCTTCACAGAAGTAGATCACCAGGTCTTTTCTCCTGCAGAGTCATTGGGAGGGTCTGAACCACCAACCTTCTGGTTAGTAGCCAAGCGCTTAACCATTGTGCCGCCAGGGCTCCTTACAATCAATATAATGGAAGGTAACTCTTGACAGAGCCAACGACAAGAGGCTGGGAAGGTAAAATTAAAAAGGGCAACAAAATTATCAGCTGCCTTTTTTTTTTTTTTTTAATTATTCTACTTATTATTAAACTAGTATTTTTCCAGAATGCTACTGTCCACTTTTAAACCTTAGAATATCTACAAAGCTAATCGCTCTTTTAAAAAGCTGTCTACATTAGGCAGCTGGTCCCTTTACCTCCAACTTCTCGGTCTATAAAATAAGAACTGAAATCAAAATAAGAAAGGTGATGAAATTTTATAAATGTTTTTTACTACTACTTCTTAATCCAGTTAGTATAAAGCACCGTATTGCAGTCAAAGATATAATAGATCAAATAGTTATCATGAATATAAATTATGTGATAGGATTCTTAAGGATTCTATTAATATTATTAAATTAATCAATATTTTTAATACCCCTCAGTAATACTACCAAATAGTTCCTCCTTGCCCCCAACAAGGTATTCTAGCAACAGCAGGTAAACTTTTCTGAGTATAGTAGTTATCAAACTCAACTTAAGAAATATTATTACCATAAACCCTTTATTTTTTAATTTTTTAATGTTTGTGAAAACCCTTACTTGGGCTTGGAGAGTATCTTTTCCAAGTTAAATTCTTTGAGGTATCTTATTACGGCAGCCAAAGAGCAAATGACAGGCCTCTCCAGGTTCATAATGCCAGAAAAATTTTGAGAACCTAAAAAAGAGTACACCTTCGTTAAAACAAATTTTAAGTTGAACAAAATTTATCTTATGATTAACCAAATAATAGTTTAGAAAATGCCTCCTAAAGTTGCCCTGCGAGAAAATGTATAAGATACCTAGGACATGAGAAAAAGGGCACTGTCTGATGGTGAAATGAATCTCTTTGGAAAGCAATATAGCAAACTTTTTCAAAATTTAAATGTTCATCCTCTTTAACACAGAAATACCCCAACATGCATGTCAAAAATACATATATAAGCAGTTACACTGAAAAATTTTTTGCGAAGATTTTTTTACTAGAAAAATCTAGTAACAAACTACAGACGACATAAATGAACATCAAAAAAAAAACTTTAAAAATTTTTGGTAAATCCATTTTACAATGCAGCTACTGAAAGAAATGACTTACAGCTATCCATACTGATACAGAAACCTATCTATAATATATTGTTGAGTGAAGAAATCCATTCTCATCTCACTGGGAACACTGCAATAGCTTTCCATCTTTTCTCCCTGCTTCATCCTTGCTCCTGATAGAATATTCTTAATAGAGCAATCATAAGGATCCTTTTAAAAATGTACATAGATCATGTCACTCCTCTGCTCAAAATTCTCCAAAATCCCCAATCCACTGACAGTGGAAGCCAAAGTCCTTACAGTGGACTATAAGGCCCTATACGATCTGCCTCCTGTCTCCTCCTTACCTCTGACCTCACCCCTAATATTCTCCCCCTCAGTCACTCTGCTCCAGCACACAGCCTCCTTGCTGTTCCTTAAACACGCCAGGCACACTTTTACATAAGAGACTTTGTATTTACTGTTCTCTCTGCCTAAAACACTGTTCCTCCACACGTCTATATGGCTTTTCCCCTTAACTCCTTCAAACCTTTGTTCAGGGCCATTTCTCAATGAGGCCTTTCTTCATCACCCTGTTTAAAAGTGCAACCCCTTTCACAGCACTTATCATCTTCTAACACACTGTGTAACTTATTCCTTTTATTGACTTAACATTAGCTGGGCTGGCAGGAATGAGAAATACGGGCCAAATCAACTATTGATGCATGGTAGAGGGAACGTGAGTTAGACAAACAACAGCTACTCAGTTATACCCTGACACTAACGTTCTGGTATTTTATTTCTGGCAACCAACCTTTAAAAACACTAGCCTTCAACAGAACATTTATCCAAGCATTCTATAAAACTGTGAGGATAGTAACGAGCCATCTTTAAGAGAAGCAAAAAGGAAGGTTGGTGAATAACCAACTCTTCCTTACACTCCAATGAAGATGTCAACACCATGAAGTTGCTAAAAGATCACAATTACAAAGGAAGAAGCTTCGGTGATATTACTGATGAGTGCAAGAACAGTGAACTCTTCCTTCTACCTCCTGCAATTATTTATTGGTAATGACTTATTGTCGTCAGCTGCCGTGGAGCCCACCCACGACGGAATGAAATGCTGCCTCGTCCTGCAGCATTCCTGTGATCAGCTGTGGATCCTCTGTTGTGATGCATACGGTTTTCATTGGCTGATATTCAGTAGACCGCCAAGCCTTTCTTCTTAGTCCATTTTATTCTGGAAACTCCACTGAAACCTGTTCAGCATCAAAGCAACACACAAACTTCCACTGATAGACAAGTCGCGGCTGCAAATGAGGTGCACTGGCTGGGAATGGACCCAGGTCTCCCGTGTGGAAACAAAGATTCTACCACGGAACCAACAACCTCCGGTAACAACCAAACAGCCTAGTTTTTAATTAGAATGAAAGTGAGGCTCACACCTTTATCCAAATCTAACTCAGTTAAATTTGAGGTCATATGGATAACATGTACAAAATATTTACCTTTGACGTCAACTATATCGTTTGCATAAAAATCTATAACCACCTGGAAAGCATAGCTGTATTCAAAATAAATGTTATCCATCCTTTCAACTCGAATTCTGTCATCCCGGACACTGAAAGAGGAAAATGAAAATTTCAAATGTTAAAAATCTGGAAGTATCTGCATTTAGGCCTTGCTTTGACCAAAAGAAAAGAAAGAAAATAGGCATATTCCTTATTCTCTCCCAAGATGGAAAAAAAGAGACAGAGAAAGAGATTTAAAGTTTTTCTGCTAAAAAGCCCCATTTCATAAAATAGTAAAATCCTTAATTTATTCTACTGGCAGTCTGTATCACTTTTGTTGTTGTTATTTGCCATTGATTCAGCTTCAACTCATAGCAATGCTATCTACAACAGAACAAAACACCGCCTGGTCCTGCGTCTCCTCACAATTGTTGCTATGTTTGACTTGAGTGCCTTCCAACCTAAAAGGTTCATCTTCCAGCACTGTATCAGACAATGTTCCACTGCTATCCATAAGGTTTTCACTGGATAACTTTTTTCAGAAGTAGACTGTCAAATGATGTACTGCATTGGGTAAATCTGTTACAAAAGACTTTAAAGTGTTAAAAAGCAAAATGTCACTTCGAGGACTACGGTGCTCCTCATTCAAGCCACAGTATTTTCAATTGCCTCATATGCGTGTGAAAGCTAGACAATGAACAAGGAAGACTGAAGAAAAATTGATGCCTTTGAATTATGGTGTTGCCAGAGAATACTGAATATACCATGGACTGCCAGAAGAACGAACAGATCTGTCTTAGAAAAAGTACAGCCAGAATGCTCTTTAGAGGCAAGGATGGCAAGACTTCATCCACTTACTTTGGACATGTTATCATGAGGGACTAGTCCCTGGAGAAGGACATCATGTTTGATAAACAGAGGTTCAGTGAAAAGAAGAAGACCCTCAGTGAGATGGACTGACATAGTGGCTGCACTAATGGGTTCAAACATAGCAACGATTGTGAGAATAGCACAGGACTGGGCAGCATTTTGTTCTGTTCTACATAGGGTTGCTATGGGTAGGCACCGACTTGATGGCACCTAACATCAGCAACATATAAAGTTACCTTAATGCATAAACAAAACAATTATTTTCCATGCTGAGTAGTGCATTTTCTGCTTTGCTTGTATCCCCAGTCCCTCTTTCATTATCACCAACTCATGTTAACTGCCTATCATGAAACCTTCTGTATATTTTCATACTCATATGATCATATACACAAGTATATATTACATACATGCATACTCATACATGCCTATGGGAGACTGTCACTGTTTTATTAAAATAGATAACTTCATAAAAAACTTTTCTGCATATTGTTTTCTTCCTTAAGCAATAACTCTTGGAAATCCCTCCATATAAAGTGACTCATTCTTTTTAATGGCTGAAAAATAGGTCATAGGATGTAAACGTCCTAAGTTATTCAACCATTTCTTTATCGTTGGACATCACTTGGTTTCTAGGTTCTACAAACAAAATTGCAATTAACTGCTTAATACACTCACTTCTTACTTATTGACATAATTAGATTCCAAAGATGAGGTCATTACATGAAAATCAATATTATGCAAAAATGGAGGGTGACCACATCAGATCACAAAATGGAAGATGACTACATCATTACATAACTGCCAAATAACATCACTACATAACTGACAAACTACTGAGAATCATGGCTGTTATGGACATGGCTCTGTCCCCCAAAAATGTGTGTCAACTGGGCTAGCCCATGATTCCCAGTATTGTATGGTTGTCTTCCATTTTGTGACCTGGTATAATTTTCCTATGTGTTGTAAATCCTAATCTCTATGATGTTAATGAGGCAGGATCAGAGGCAGTTGCATTAATGAGTTAGGACACAATCTACAGGATTAAGTTCTATTTTGAGTCAATCTCTTTTGATAAAAGAGAGAAGCAGACAGAAGGACCTCATGCCACCAAGAAAGAAGTGCTGAGAGCAGAGTGCGTCCTTTGGACGCGGGTTTCTGTACTGAGAAACCGCTAGACAAGGGGAAGATTAATGACAAGGATCTTCCCCCAGAGCCAACAGAGAGAGAAAGGCTTCCCTGGAGCTGGCACCCTGAATTTGGACTTCTAGCCTCCTAAACTGTGGGAGAATAACCTTGTTTGTTAAAGCCATCCATTTGTGTTATTTCTAGATAACTAATACAATAGCCTAGCCAAGTTGACACATAACCTTAATCATCATAGACAGTGTTACTCCACCTCGCACCTCAGTGTTAGTTTCTGCCAGACATACATCGTTCATGTGCAAAATAGCTGCATAGTAGATTTTTTACTATTGTCATGAATGTGAAACGTTGGATAACAAGATAGTCGATAAGTGAGGAAGAGGTACAGATACATCTTTACATACTAGTACTTTCATTTTTGGTTAGCTCTCGACTGTAACCAAAAGGCCAGCAGTTCGAATCTACCAGCTGCTCCATGGGAAAAAGATGTGGCTCTCTGCTTCCAGAAAGATTTACAGCCTTTAACGATGTAGAACAAAACTCTAACTCACAAAAAAAGACCAGATTTACTGGCCTGACAGACTGGAGAAACCCCGAGAGTATGGCCCCCAGACACCCTTTTAGCTCAGCGGTGAAGTCATTCCCGAGGTTCACCGTTCAGCCAGGGACTGGGCAGCCCCATAAAACAAAACAGGACTAATGAAGCACAGCAGTCCAGGGACAAGGACTAGAAGGCAGGAGGGGACAGGCAAGCCGGGGATAGGGAACCCAAGGTTGAGAAGGAACAGTGTTGACATGTCGTGGGGTTGTTAACCATTGTCATAGGGTAATATGTGTACTGTTTATACTATTTGTTCTGTAAACCTTCATCTAAGGTACAAAAAAAAAAAAAAAGAATTATCTGTGTGAGATCAAATTGACAACAGCAACTCAAAAGGTTTGATGGGAAGCCTAGGGGGCAGTGAGTTGAAGATAATGGTGATGGGACGATTTGGAAAAGGATAGTGAGAATAGCAGCACATCTGGAAGAACATAAGTGATGTCACTGAATTGTACATGTAAAAACTTTTGAAATGGTGTAACTTTGGCTATGTATATTTTCACCAAAAAAAAGGTTGAGAATTTAGAGGGTTAATATGTTGTGGGGTTGTTAACCAATGTCATAAAACAACATGTGTACTAGTGTTTCATGAGAAACTATTTGTTCTGTAAGCCTTCACCTGAAGTACAATAAAATATAAAAAAAGAAAAATTTGCCCTATTGTGTCTGACTTATTTCAGTCAGCATAATGTTTTCATGGTTCATCCATGTGGTAGCATTTATCAGAATTTCATTTCTCTTTATGGCTGAACAACATTCCATTGTACGGTGTCTTAGTTTCCCAGGGCTGCCACAGCAAAATACTACAAGTTGATGGCTTTAAAGAACAGAAACGTATTGTCTCACAGTTCTGGAGGCTCAAAGTCCAAATCAGGGTATTGGCCATGTCAGCTCCTTCTGAGGCTCTGAGACAGAAACTGTTCCATTCCTCTCTCTTAGCTTCTAACTGCCGACAATCCTTGGCATTCCTAGGCTTGTAGATTCACCTGTCTCCAACATCATGTGGGCATCCTCCTCTGTATAACTTTCTCCATGTCTATTCTTTCATTTTATAAAACACCAATCAAGAGGAATTAGGATTAGCACCCACACTACTTCGGTATGACCTCGTTTAACTTAACAGAAGCTTTATGGGAGGCTTCTGCGGTATTTATAATGTTCTATATATCTTGACCTAGATGCTGTTTATATAGATGTGTTTACTTTCTGAAGATTCGCTGAGTTGTAAATTTGTGATTTGTGTACTTTTCTGTATGTTTGATAGACTTCAAGAAGCTTACGTAAAAAGATAACTGCTATCTAAATTAGATAAAAAGTAGATCAATGTAACAATTCAAAAAGAAAAAAAACTATTTTAGAGCACTTAAAAAAAGTCATTTTTGTCTTTTAAGAATCCACCTTTAGCTCCTCCTGTAGATCAGAACTAAAACATGCAGAGAAATTTTCCCTAATAAAATTTGCCATTTAATAAGGAAATAAATATAGCAGCTAGGAGATAGTGGTTCGGTGGGGAAAACAATTAGCATTTTTCATTAATCAACATGATTCTGAAAGACAGTCTGCATAATGCTTTTAAACAGGCAGACATTTCTACAGAAAATTCTCATTTCCACAGAAAGCTGAAGGCAAGGAAATCAGAGATACATTATTATAATGAATAATAATGATAACATTTTAAATTATTCAACAGACATTTATGGAGCATCTACTATGTGTTACTTCCTCAAGCCCCTACACCACATTGCTGTCAGAGAGACAGAACTAAGAGTGACAACACTGTACTTTCTCTAACTCCTTCGATGGCTCTCCATTCTCAACTATTAACAGCGAAAGTTTTCCACATAACATACTCAGTATTCTCTACCAAAACGGATAAAAACTCCTGTCCTCACAGAACTTATATTCTAGTAGGCTAAACAGAAAATAAGTAAATAAATTTTTTTCTTTTTTTTTTTTTAAGGTGGTGATCTAGCCCCTGTTACTTCTCTAACTTTATTGCCTACTAACTCTCACCTTCACTGCTTCTGCTGTAGCCACACTGGCCTTTATGCCGTTTCTCGAACACCACAAGTAAGGTCTCACCTCAGTGCCTTTGTATTTACTTTCCCTCTACCCTAAACACTCTTTCCTAGTAAGCCACATGGCTTGTGCCCTCACCTCCTTCAGGTCTTCATTCAAAAGCTACCTTTTTTGAGATATTCCCTGATCACCCATGTAAGACAGCTTTCCTCATTAGTATATAAGATCTGTGAGGATAAGGACTTTTGTCCATTTTATTTCTGCTGGACCCAATCCCCTAGAGGTAGGCGGTATTATCCTCACTTTAAGAATTAGCAAATTGAGCTTTGAGAAATTAAGTACTATGCCAAAAGTCACAGAGAGATAATGGGTTAATAGATATTCAAACCCAGTGTACCTAGCTCCAAAAGCTTTATTTTTTCTACTACAAGACTGCACAGGCATAAGCTGATTCAGGAAGAAATCTAAGAAGGATTT